GGGGGGGTGCGTGGTGGGGGGGGGGGGGGGGGGTAGGGTGTGAAAGAGCGGTGGGGTGAGGTAGTGCACACACAGACATGTATATGAATCATTACTTTAAACAGTAAGGAACACTAGATTGTTGTGTAGTACTGAAGCCAAATATATTCACTTGTCCAAAGCCACCAGTGTAGTAAGCTGAAGTAGGGAGGAAATGATGGGGGCTATTGTTTTTCTTTGAGGAGGAAAAAAGTACAATCATGATAAAAACATGTTCAAGGATACTGGCTTATTACATCACCTATAACAAAGGTCACGTAAAACATTGCCGTTTTACACGTAAAAGTAACCCACACATTTTACAGGACCTTATACTGTATTACAGCACTACATCGTTAATGAGAAAATTAAATACACCTTTCACCTGTACCAAAAATAATATAGCAGCTCCTACTTCTGAAGGTGGCCAAGCACCAGATTCCTCCAAAAGCTTAGTTTAAGAAACTGTTAGAAAAATACCAATTGTGCAAATATTTGAACAGTAGGATACATGGGGTTTTATAAGCTGAGTACATACAATTATTCCAACTGTACAGAAACCAAGACCGGGTTAATAATAAACTGGATTGCAGGAGACTGTTCTCAAGCACCGTAAACAAGTGCTCACACACTAAAGTCCTTGGACACACATTTAGCAGAATCTATTTGCTTTATGGTAAAATAATTTATCTGAAGTCCTCTAGCACTGCATAAAAATATTATTCCAAGTGGGTCTATTTAAATTTTATGTTGATCCAGCTGACAACTAGGTTATAAAAAAAGGTAGAAATGTAGCTACAACAGAGGAAATTTTGGCAGTAACACTGTAGAGAAGAAAAATCCTAAAATCGTACTGTGAAATGTTTCTTTCCCATCTACCCCCATTGTTTTCCTTTATCTAATTCCTCCTGCTTGACTTCTCCCTCAAGTACCAGATGTTTTATGCCTTTGTATCTTACCTTTGCGCATCTTTCCCTGCAAGATGCAAACCTCAGCCTTCCCCAAGAGTGCTCATTATTAAAGGCTCACCACTGCCACCCAGACTGTAGTTTTGGAATCTGTACCTCCATCATGACCTGCGGTCACCCAAATCATGGTGTAACCACACTTATGTTTTAAGTTTAGCTGATTAGGGAAGGGGGGGGCGGCACGAAACATGCCTTCAAAGGGAACCTTTGTACCAATAGCACTGAGAAACTGGTTTAATCAACTGCTTCTCCATACCCTGAAAAGCCCAACTTTTCTTGGGTGCAATGGTACTCTTTATTAGTGCCCTTGGCCACCAGCTCTATAACAGACTTCGTTTCACAAACTCCACCTACTGAGCAAACACTTCGGTGAGACATAGGAACAGGACCAGCTTGGCTGTACCTAAATCTTGCATGTGGCTACCTTTAGAACTGGAACTAGGCGCAAGAAAAGCATACATTTCTCTCTGCTTTTTTAATGAATGACTGACTCATTCTGAGCTAAACAATCATGCTTCCGGTCCCATCTTCATGTTGCTCTTCAACAATAATCCTGCGTGTCAGAAAAAAACTTCTAAAAACCCTTATTCTTGTAATAAATTCCTTGTGTTACTTAACTCTATTTTTCTATAAATTAAAATCTTAATACCTGTTCTCCCCATCTCTGACTGACTCCAGTGAGTTAAAATCCTGTCACTTGAACTCTAATTGGTATAAGACCTGCAATTTGTCTACATGTGCCCTAGACCCGTGCTAGTGTTACACATTCTCACTATCAGATTTTCCTTTTTTCAAGCTTCCTCCCTTTCTCTGTGAGATTCCACTGCTTGCAGCTTTGCATACTGAGAGTATGAAGTAGTAACAAGAGATCTTCCCATCTTTCAGGTAGTCTAATCAAGCACTAGATTAACCCATTCTGACAAAAGCAATTTAGACAACTACTTCAAGAAACTATTTCAGAGCTTAAAAACAGGCAGGCAACTTGCTCTTTGTCACCCCACAGTGCTATCGTAAGTTTACTGTAGCACATTATGCCCAATTCTTACAGTGAATTCTTATAAACACCAGTAGAATATGGCCACGATTCAAGAATAAAGACCTGTCCTTTCAACCATCTCTTTGCAAGCCTTTGCTGTCTGAAGAGGTTAGAGGTACCTGCAACTTCATTACATTAAACTGAAATAGCGATATTCTGGGTGCATCTTTGGGATACCTAACTGACAAGTTGCAAGGAAAAGGAATTCCTGTGTTAGCTTCTATTTCGGTTAAACCTGATAAACTCTGTTATTCTCTGCAAAACGATACCTTATCACTGGCTTTATCAACACTACCTCCTGATTGGAGTAAAGCTTAAAGACTACCTTGACCAAAGAAGTCAGCTTCCAACAACATACAAGTTTTCCAAGAACACTCACTACCAAACTAGACCTCAATTCTCCATACCATCCCACACAAAACACAAAATATTACCCAACTTAAGGTCGAAGGTAAAAAGGTCAAAAGTCACAACTATAACGCCAAGGAAGCAAGGAGGATAGAGACAAACAGCATCCAGGCTGCAAATTCTTGAAACAGCAAGACATTTGTTGAAAGTAAATCACTGGCTATATACTAAGGAGTGAATCACATCCCACAGATATAGAGAAGGAAAAAACCCCACCAACGCAAAACCAGAACTGCAATAGTCTCTATAAGCCTGGACCAGAAGAAAAAAAGATACAGAAAGGAATCACTCCAAACTCAGCAATTACTTAAATCCCAGGATCCATCAACCAGGCACCTGAACAATGAACATCAGTAAAACGAAGACGACACTTATGCATTTCACCTTGCCTTTAGCTGCTGCTCCAGAACATATTATGAACCAAGTGATGGAGAAGAAAATCCCTTCTGGGCCCTTACAGATGGCCTGCAGAAGGACTAAAGCAAGGGGCCAGTACAACATAGCGCATACAAAGGTATCTGTAATCACAGCAGCTGGCAGAGGCTAAGCTAATACTATATAGCCACGATTTTATTTGCACTTTGTCAATATGAAAGAAAACACATCTGGACATACTTCCCCCACCCCGACCATGTACAAACAGCCTCTACAGTTAAATGAAAATGTTTTCTTACCATTTCCTATCCTCTTTCACTCACAGACACAAGCTTGTTATTGAAGTGCAGTTATAATGTTCCCCCTTGAAACTATGCAAAATACCTACTACAAACTTCCACATACATTGACAAAAGGCCAGTCCTGGGCCTTAAAACCATTGTTTATATCCCATCATGAACACAGCCCACTTTTTGAGATCAGGTGGTCTAAGCACAGCTCTGTTCTACTTTACAGAAGTGAAGGTATCGGATTTACCTACGAACAGAAGAAAAGGGCTAAGATTGCAAGGGAAGATGTAAACAGGATAGGGGATGAACACTTAATTTAGCTCATCTACACCCTTTCACTACAGAAAAGCTTTGTATTCAAATAAGTTGGTTTTGTTTGAAAAACAAAGCAGAACTTATCATCAACATTTACCCTTACTGCTGTTTCAATTAAAAAACCAAAACCCTAATAACCTCAACCCTCAAAAACCATTTGGGACATTGCAAATACAGTTGTTTGTCAAACTTCAACTCTAAACAGCTATTCCAATTTCAAAACCTGCATGTTTGTATGTAAAGAACACGGTAATTCACTAACCCTCACATTTTCTTCCAGGAAATTAAAAAAATCCTCAAAACCAAGATGATTACATTCATTTGCCTACAGCAAAAACATCTGAGGTTTGGGTTTTGTTGGGTTTTTTTCAGATTACACTGACCTGCTATATTATATGGATATTTTATTGCTGAAGAACAATTAGCTGAGGTGAATAGAGACCTCGCAAATACAGATGAAAAAAAAATAAAGAAATGCAAGCAAATACTATGGCCAGGCAGCCATTCTATTTTACTTGATGACAGCAAATCTATTCCTATGCACTAATCAATTAGAGAACAGCTACATTTAATCTCAGGCTTAAATTACTAAATTGAACATCTTTATTTTATTTAGTTCTAGTAGTCAAACAAAAAATTCATTTTTAAATATTTTCAGGGCTAAAAAAATGAAGGTCTTATTGAAAACTGAATACAGCAGAATTGTAATAAACTAGGTAGGATTCTGATGACCTGATACACAAAAGAACGATCCTGTTGCTAATACGTGAATAGATCTTCCTGAAAGAAAAGAGTGTGCCAAGTTATCAGCTGGTTTCTTGCTCTAAGTGAATGCTCAGGTAAACTAGCAAAAAGCTTTGGGCTTTTCATTTTTAGAATAGGTCCTCAAATATAGTAGGCACTTAGTCATGCGCTTCTTCCTTTAAACTCTGGCTGTGGCTTATCACCTCATCTTTCTCAGCCAATTCAGAGACGGGGAAACAGCTCAGTAACATTTCTGCACTTGAGTCATTCATTAAAATCTTCCTTTTGCCAGAGCTTCTTGCCACATGCGGTTATCCCCCCTCGTTATATTCTGAAACTTGTTCGGCAATTTGTCTTGCGTGTTTGGCTTCCCTGCAAGCCTACACCAGTGTCTGTGTTTAACAGACAATTAAGTAAACAGGAGAACTGCGTTTTCTTTAAAAGAAAGAGAAAAGATGACAAAGGGGTATGATGCTCTGAACAACTGTGAGTTGCAGGTGTTGGAAAGAGTTTAGAGTACAGATGCAGTGCTTTTGGGTCTCCTTCCTGCAGGCACAGCACCGGCACCCGGTAACAAGTCAAGGAAGGGATCGAGACTTGATATTACCAGGGTAAGCAGACCGGCCAGATGTCACATAGCATGACATCCGCCAGCTTATTTGTCTAAGAATTAAGACACCCTTTTTTCTTACCAACAGCCACAGAAAACCCCAGGTACCTTAGCGATGGCGAGGTCCTGTCATACCCTCTCCCTCGGCCCTCGGTCCAGCCCGTCCATCACTGCAGCGCTACGTCCACCCGCATCACGAGATTCATCTCTTCCCCCCCCTTCCCCTCTCCTCCCGCCCTCCGATACTTCCCTGCGTGTCCCTACACTCAGCCCCACGCACCACCTCCCAGCACCCTCACTTCTCCGTGCCCTCCCCAAACAACCCACAGCCCAACTCTCCCACCTCTCTCCCCACTCCAACCCTTCTGACCCGACCGACTGCTATTCCCCCCCCCCCCCCCGTGCAACCCTACTCCTGCACGACCCCCTTCCC